AAAAAAAGACACAAAGGACCGCTAAGATTCTTTCAAACTCTTTCAAAAATAAAACACTATGGGACCTGTAGATTCTTTCAAAATAAAAAAGGAGGCCCCAAAATTTCTTTCACATTCTTTAAAGAAACAGATATTATAAGACATTAAGATTCCTTCAAGTTCTTTCAAAAATAAAACACCAGAGGCTCTTTCGATTTTTCAAATTCTTTCAAAAAAGAACACTAAAAGACGTAAGATTCTTTCAAATTTTTGAAAACAATTTGACAAAATTATTTAGGCAACTCTTTCAATAAAAGACATTAAGAGACAACAAAATTTCTTGAATCTCTTTCCAGAAATAGAACACCAGAAACCCTAAACAAAGACAAGATTTTTCCACTTTTTTGGAAAATAAAACACTAGAGACCCTCAAATTTTTTCAGATTCTTTCAACACGAGAGAAATAGACACTAAGAAACCCTAAGATTCCTTTGAAATCTTTCAAGAATAAAACACTATGGGACCCGTGAATTCTTTCAAAACAGAGAAAGAAACCTCAGAATTTCGTTCACATTCTTTAAAAACAGACATTATAAGACTCTCTCAAGCTCTGTCAAAAATAAAACACCAGGGGCCCCTAAGATTTGTTCAAATTCTTTCAAAAAAGGAGACTAGAAGAAGTAAGAGTTTTTACATTTTTGAAAAAAATTGTCAAAATCATTTAGGCAACTCTTTCAAAAAAAAAACATTAAGGGAAAACAGGATTTTTTCCATTGCTTTTCAGAAATAAAATATCAGAAACCCCAAAGAAAGACACGAGTTTTCCAGTTTTTTGGAAAATAAGACACTAGAGATCTTTAAGATCTTTTCAAACGCTTTAAAAAAAAGGGAAAAAGACACGAAGGACCTCTAAGATTCTTTCAAACAGTTTCAAAAATAAAACACCATAGGACCCAAAATTTCTTTCACATTTTTTAAAAACAGACATCATAAGACATTAAGATTCCTTCAAGTTCTTTCAAAAATAAAACACCAGGGGCTCTTTCGATTTTTCAAATTCTTTCAAAAAAAGAACTCTAAAAGACGTAAGATTCTTTCAAATTTTTGAAAAAATTTGACAAAATTATTTAGGCAACTCTTTCAATAAAAGACATTAAGAGTCAACACAATTTTTAAATCTCTTTTCAGAAATAGAATACCAGAAACACTAAAAAAATACAAGATCCTTCTACTTTTTGGGTAATTAAGACAGTAGAAATCCTCAACATTTTTTTAAACGCTTTCAAAAAAAGGAAAAAAGACTCCAAAATTCTTTCAAAAATAAAACACCATGGAACTCGTGGATTCTTTCAAAATAAAAAAGGAGGCCCCAAAATTTCTTTCACATTCTTTAAAAACAGATATTATAAGACATTAAGATTCCTTCAAGTTCTTTAAAAAATAAAACACCAGGGGCTCTTTGGATTTTTCAAATTCTTTCAATAAAAGACATTAAGAGACAACAAAATTTTTTGAATCTCTTTTCAGAAATAGAACACCAGAAACCCTAAAGAAAGACAATATTATTCCACTTTTTTGGAAAATAAAACACTAGAGACCCTCAGTTTTTTTCAGATTCTTTCAACACGAGGAAAAAAGACACTAAGGACCCCTAAGATTCCTTTAAACTCTTTCAAAAATAAAACACCAGGGGCCTTTAAGATATTTTTAAATTCTTTCAAAAAAGAACACTAGCGGACGTAAGATTCTTTCACATTTTTGAAAAAATTTGTCACAATTTTTTAGGCAACTCTAAGGCAACATTAAGAGACAACAACATTTTTTCAATCTCTTCAGAAATAAAACACCAGAAATCCCAAAGAAAAACAACATTCTTCCACTTTTTTGGAAAATAAGATACTAGAGATTCTCAAGATTTTCAAACTCTTTCAAAAAAAAAAAGAAAAAAAGAGGTTTCAAAATTTCTTCCACATTCTTTAAAAACAGGGATTATAAGTCATTAAGATTCTTTCAAGCTCTTTCAAAAATAAAACACCAGAGGCCCCTAAGATTTTTTCAAATTCTTTCAAAAATAGAACACCAGGGAACACTAAAATTCTTTCACATTGTTTAAAAAATTGGTCTAAGACCTTCATAAATAGAAAAAAAGATAGCCAGGGTCCCAAATGCTTTGGAAAACAAAACCGTAGATTTTTTCAAATTCTAAAGAAAAACATCAGGGAACACCAACATTCTTTCATATTTCTGAATAAATAAGTTTAAGTTATTTAAGCAACTTAGGAAGGTACCAATGGACTTTAAAACACCAGAGACCCCAAAGATTCTTTCAGATTCGTTAAAAAAGACACTAGGGGTCACGAGGACTCTTTCAAACTCTTAGAAAAGACACTTGGAGCCCTTAAGATCCATTCAAACGCCTTTAAAAACCGAAGATCAGGGGACTCAGATTCTTTCAAACTCTTTCAAGAGTAACACCAGTGTGATCAAGATTCGTTCATGTTCTTGAAAAGATTTGTCTAAATTATTTATACAATCTTTTAAAAAAAGATACTAAGGGACAACATTCTTTCAAACTCTTTTCAAAAATAAAACACTAGAGCCTCCAAAGATTCCTTCAGACTCTTTAAACCAAAATGACATTAAGGCTCGTTTAGAATCTTGCAAATTCTTTCAAAAAGACAGACTTGGGGTCGCCAAGAGTTTTTCAAACTCTTTCAGAAAAAAACACCAAAGACCCCTAAGAAGAAGACACCAGAGGCCTCGTAGTTTTTTTTAAACACTTTCAAATATAAAACACCTGGGGGTCCTCGAGATTGTTTCATTCTTGAAAAAAAAAAAACACTCAACGCCATTAGGATGTTCTTAAACGCTTTCGTAACACGAGGAGCACCAAAGATGTTTTCAAAATTTTTCAAAATAAAAGGCCTTCAAAGTTCGTTCAAATACAAAAAAAGGTGTAAATTATTTAGGCAATATGTCAAAAAAAGATACTAAGAGACTACAAAATTCTTTCTCTTCAAAAATAAAACAGCAGGGACCCTAGAGATTATTTCACATTCTTCAAAACAGAAAGACAGTAGAGGCCCCTCTTTCAAACTCGTTTCAAAAACAAAACATCAGGGGTCCCAAAGATTCCTCCACGTTCTTTAAAACAAAAGGACACCAAGGCCCCTGAAGAATTTTTCAAAAAGAGAGACTTGGGGCTGCCAAGACTTTTTCAAACTCTTTCAGAAAAAAACACCAAAGACCCCTAAGATTCTTTCAAACGCATTCAAAAGCAAAACGCCAGAGGGCCTCGTAGATTCTTTGAAGACACTTTCAGGTATAAAACATAAGAAGTCTTAGAGATTCTTTCACATTCTTGAAAAAATTGATCTACGTTATTTAGGCAATTCTTTCAAGAAAAAAAAATCTAGGTCCCCTAAGATTCCTTCAAACACCTTCACAAACAATTATTAGTGGTACAAAACATTAGGGACCCGAAAGGTTCTTTCAGATTTTTTGAAAAAAAAGCCTAGGGACCACAAAATTCGTTTAAACTCTTTCAAAAACAAAACACCAGGATCCTCAGAGATTATTTTATATTAAAAAAAATGGTTCTAAGTTATTTAAATAAAATTTCCATTGCCCCTTAAGCCAGTTTTCTAAAATAAATGATAAAATTTGATGCTGGAACTTTTAGTTTCCTTTTTGATAACCCCGTACGCTAAAATAAAAAGTAGATCTGAAACACGAAACTACAGATTTCCTTAATAATGACTTTGCATAGGTAGAGTATAATATATATAAGAAGGGTAATGTTTTCCCAGAATTTCTGGAGATGAGATAAACCGTCTTTAGTTGTAGTAAGCTTTTTACCATATGCTTAAAATTTCACAACGACCGTGCCAGTAGTTTCAGATTTTACTTATATAATAAAATCATCAAGAGACGAAAAACAGGCGGAAACGGGACCTACTTTTTCATATTCTAGGAGCAATGAAACGTCGAGAAAAGAGGCGGACTAGCCATTCGTCAAATGGACCCTAGTGCAAAAAAAATTGAAATAAATTTTAAACCACAAGTAAATGAGCAAAACTATGATGCGCACTAAAAATTATATTTATTTATCATAATTTAACTGACGTCATCAATTTTTTGAAGGGAAGAAACACAAATATTCTGGTAATAATTGCATAAATTATTTTGTCACTGACCCCGACATTTTGAGGTGAAATAATGTTAACAGGGTATTTAATAACGACAAAAATCTGAAATGAAAATGGAGTGCTAGTTAATATAGAAACAAGATTTTCCATTTTCAAGCTTGGGTATCTTCGGTATTTATTAATTATGATTTTGATTTCATTTCTTCTTTATTTGTTTCTTCTTCAGTTTTTAAAAACCTATTATTAAATCCGTTGCATGTTTTTTCAATTCCGTCTCTGGAATCTCGTTCCTTTAAATCCACCTTCTTCTTTTTGCTCAAAAATCCCCCGTCAAGGTTTAAATTCGAACCCACTACCGAATCTTCCTTTCAATCTCAGCAGAAACCTGACAATTTAATCAGTATACATTTAACAACTTATTTCTGAAAAACGAACTCGAATTAACGTGTGTTAATTTAAGCTACGTAAACAAGTAGTTGTTTTTTGAATAAAACAACCTGAACCGAATTCAGCAGCTTTAAATCGGCGAATCAATCAAACCAGTAAATTATATTCGATCCCCTCGGGTTACTTTCACGCGCTTGTTATAAATTCAATAACAGTCCTAACGGACTAATGGCGCATAAAGAATTCCAGGTGTTAACTGCTAATACTAATAACCATCTAAATTTAGCCTTAATAAGAGCGCTCCAACTTGAATAAACAGCAAGAGGCTGTTGGTCTTATTATAACATCCAAAGTAAACAAGTTATTGATACGGATATTAAAGTCAGCACTCGCCTAAAAACGATCTAACGCCTTTCTAAATATAAACCGTCCGCCTTCGGATTTTATAACGAATTCCAATTAAGTTGTTCGGTTTTATTGTTTCAGATATCATTAGCGCAACTAGCCGCCGATGGCCGCTTGAGGAACCAGACGATCCAAGAAGTACAGAAATTCTGTTCCCCTCAGCTGGTAAGGCATCTTGTAGTTGTCACTTAACTAAACGTTTGATTGATGTGCTAGAGATAACGCCGGTTTTTAGAAATAGCTGGTCTTGGATGTCATTTCTTTTAAGACCTGCGATATTTTTAAAATACCTTGTTTACGGCCTACGATATTTCACGCGGGTTATCGTTAAGTGTTCGAGATGGCTGATAAGGAACGAATAAAATATTTCAATTTATTGTTCGGGAAGGATTATTGTCTCGAACGGAGTTTTATTACTTCATTTGTGTGGCAAACTGCGAGCAACGGCCGGATAATGTTCGAGTGTCAAAATGCAGAGTGGCTGGTGTCAACCGGGGTTAGCGGACCTCACATACAGTCGAATTTCTGCTCAGCGGACGCGATAAATACTAGCAAATTTAACGAAGGTAATAATTGTTCTCCAAGTTAGTGAAATATATATGTGATTGTTTAAAGTAACTTATAAGTTACTAGTGAAATTAAAACCTTCTAATTTTAACCCGTTAATATATGAAAAATTCAAATATGTACTTATAAACCAAAACATTTTTATTTTGTTAGCTTTTTCATGCTTCACAGGATCTTGTTTTTTTTTGTTTACTTAAGTGTTATTTAAAACTGAACTTTATATACCTGACTCATTAAGCACATGTTCCTCGATATTTTGTTAATTTTTAGAAATCCAAAAATCAGTCAAAAATTACAGTGTGGTTCTTTGAGCAGCATACACTGATTTTTTTTTTTTGATTTATTCAGATCGTTCTATTTGAGGCGTAACGTACAACGTCTTGTTTTTATATAGAATCATCTATATAAAACACACTCTCATCAGCTTCTTCTTAGTGCTTAGTACTTTTGAAACTCCAACGCGACGTTGTCACGTCATTCCAATTTTTTTTATTTTTTACTTCTCGAGCGTAAGCGAAGGAAGTTTTGTAATCGAGTCCGTCGACCGATAAAATAAAACTTTATTTTTACGTTTTTTCAACTTTTCATGATCCCGACAGTATGAAGAAATAGGTATCCCGTTTCCTTCTGTCTGTCTGTACGTCTGTCTGCCCGTCTGTCTGCGTGTCTGTCTGCCTGTCTGTCGTCCCGGATTTTTATTAGACAAATAATCTCCGAAAGTACTGGGCCGATTGTTATCAAATTTTGTATTTGTATTAGGACTATCATGTAAATGTTAAAACGGTAACCAAAATTTGTCTAATCATACCCACCAATAATGTGATGATGTGAATTCAAAATTGTACATAGTAAATGGGTTTGAAATCGTATAATATAACGTAGTCCTACACACGTAGTTCATGACGCCGTGTTGATTTTTTACCCGAAATGTCCAGATTTTTGGAAAAAAAATCAAAACTGTAAAACAATATTTTGCTATTTAATTTTGAATCTGCAACCCCGAATGCTTTGGAATCTTGCAAATGTTTTAAAGTTATTGTAAGCATGGTAAATTGTTAATAAAAATGTATCTGTTTATTCCCCCCAAAAATTGATGACGTTATCTCAGGGTGGGTGGGCGTTTCTAGTACTTGATAAGGTAAGACTGTTTTGGACAAATGACATCTCTGTCAAAAGAATAGAGGGCGGGTGGGCGGTGCTAGCATTTTATAAGATATGACTTATTTTGACACTTTTGACATTTTCGACAATTTTTCAACCATTTTCGAAAATTAACTGGATATTTTATTGTAGATTTCGACATCCAGGAGGTATTTTCGGCTTTGTTTCTTCGAAAATTTCTATCGTTCTCCCAAAATGGCTAATTGAAATATAGCAGTTTTACAGTTCCAGTAGCAAGTAGTTTAACAAAAAATTTACCAATAACGCTTTTTTTTCTATTTTTTTGACATCTCTGTCAAATGACTTATTTTGACACTTTTGACATTTTCGACAATTTTTCAACCATTTTCGAAAGTTAACTAGATATTTTATTGTAGATTTCGACATCCAGGAGGTATTTTCGGCTTTGTTGCTTCGAAAATTTCTACCGTTCTTCCAAAATCGCCAATTGAAATACTTATAGCAGTTTTTACAGTTCCAGTAGCAAGTAGTTTAACAAAAATTTACGGTTAACGCTTTTTTGTTTTTTTCACATCCTAGATTCTATTAATTTCCACTACCACTCCATAGGAGAACATAATTAGCCCCGCCCACCCACCCTGCCCTCATTTCAGTGATTAATTTTAACCGATCTGAATAAATGAATGATCTTATACTGAGCAGAAATAAAATTCATTCTGAGGATGAGAAGGTGGGCGGGGCTTTTACTTGCTAAGATAAAACTGATTTTGACAAATGACATAGCCTCCAAAGAAATACAGGGCGGCTGGGCGGGGCTAGTACTTGGTAAGACAAGACGGTTTTTGGCAGATGACATATCTGCCAAGAGAATAGAGGAGGAGTGGGCGGGCCTAGCATTTTATAAGATATGATTGATTTTGGCACTTTTCACATTTTCGACCATTTTCTAAAATTAGCTGGACATTTTATTGTAGTTGAAACACTTGTTCAAAAAATACTTTGTGTCTGAGCACATTTTTGCTCTTTTTTAATAAAAAATCTAAAATATTAAAAAAATACAAGGTGTTACTTCAAACTTTTTTTAAGTATTTCAGAAGTAATGCTTAATTTTCCGTCGCTCTGTGTATATATAATATCGTATTATCGTAAAAAAAGTTCCCTAGCAAGCAGGGAAATTTATTTTCAAGATACTATTGTAGGCATTGTTGCTGTTTGACACTTTGACAGTTTTTTCACCTTGTCCAACTGGACAAGGAACGTGGTATTGTTGCCAACGTATTTTTTTAAACATTAAATTTCAAAGCTTACTAGCAGACTTTGTTTCAGTAATATGGTACCATAATGTCCTGAACTATACTTATAATAAGGAAGAGGATTTCAGCAACATGACGACACGGTTAATGTAGGTATACTTTGAAGACATCGATAAAAATACTTTGATGATTAGACAATGACCAATAAAGTCAATTGTTAATAAACTAAACGGTGAATTAAAAAAAACAAATATAACAAATTTCCAACTCACATTTATTACAATATTACAAGTTAAGTATTTTGTAATTCACATATAATCTACATCAAACCCCTATTATACCCATGTAAGCAGCTTTTATTTCCTCAATCCTGGCGGGATCACAGTTTTTATCAGCATGCAACTCCAAAACTATTTTCCTAAACCTGTTCTTCACTTCGTCGATAGAAGCTTGAGGGTCCAGTCCCAAAACAGAATGGAAATTTTTTCCGTGTACCACATCTTTAACAACAACTTCACCTATATCTTTTCCCTCACTCAAAATTTTCTTCATCATCTCCAGCATCTGAGCCGCTACTTTAGAACAAATTTCGTCAACAACTTCCTCAACGTTGTTGTCACTTTCGCCACCACTTAGTTTCTTGTCAAGCTCTTCCGCAAAGAACGTCCCGTAACGAAGAAGTTCTGACAAATCAATTCCAGCAGTGACAGCGATGGATAAAATTTGGACTTTTGAAGCAGACAATTTGAGCTTCTTCTTCAACATACTTATTAGTTTAGGAGCGAACTTTTGCACCTTCTCTTCAAAGAAATTCATTTCCAAAAAGTCTTCAACAGCTGCGTCTATCTCTTCACGTTTCGTGGCTTTTAGTGTCTGGAGCACTGATTCATGTTGCAGGGATGTCTTAAGGGATTGTGTAATTTTTTCTAAAATTGTTGATGTAAAGTTATGTAAAGCTTTATCTACGAGCGGTTCGACAATTTGAGTTTTAACAATCGACTGTGTTAAAGATTTCGCGGTTTGTTTAGAAACCGTTTTTACAAAATCGACGAGAAGGTCTGTTCTAGTCATTTCCTCAAGGTTCCCAATTAGACCTTCCAATTCGTTTAATTTCTTTAGACCTCCTAGTTTGTTCAGTTCGTCTAAGTTATTCGCGTTTTTCAGTTGTTGCATTTTGTTTAATTGTGCAGCTTTGCTCAACTTATTGAATTTTGCTACTTCAAGAAGCTTCTCTAGATATTTTTGGAGCTTTTCCACAAGCTTCGCTAACGACTCACAAACTTTCTTGAATTTGGTAGCTCCTTTCAAAAAGGTTGTCAATTTACGACAATAATTGATAGCTTTTTTTAGTATTCTGGTGCACTGTGTGACTGCACTGAACCCAAGAGTGACAAGTGACTTTCCATATGAAATAAATTTCGTTTTCATGTAGTCATGTGTGTTGACCTCTTCTGGAATTATGATGGCCATTACCACGTCGATTATTGCTCCGGAAATTAGATCTGCTGCTTGACCACACACTGTACCAAATGCTGGTGGGAAAATTAATCCTATGCAAAGTAGACTAATCCCTGCTATAATTTCAGATCTAGCTGCATCGATTACCACATCAGGAACATCAGGAATTTCTTTCAAACAATATAGTGCATCTACACCGATTGATTGGAGCTCAGTTAACTCACTATCAAAAAGTACTTCTTTAATCGCGGGATCAGCTTTTTCTAGATTTTCTAAAAATGTTGGTACCTTTCCTCCAATGTCTAATTGTACAGACCGGTCTTTAAGCTTTTCTAGTAGTTCATCAATATTTTGTTGGTGAATTTTTAAAGCGAAATATCTTGAACAAATGTGATCCACAAAAGGATTATCTTCGGTTACTAATATGTTCTTTAATTCTTCACTCAAATTTTCTTCTGCATTGAAAAACTGATTTTTGAAGTAATTCATTTCCGTTTCAATAGATATCTTAGCTTTATTTAAGTATTCACTTGCTTCCTTTTTGTAGGCTTCGGTGTCATGTGTTTCAATAAAAAAAATTTTACCAATTGCTTTCTTGAATCTTTCTTTAAATTGTTCTCCGTTAAGAATAGCAACTTCAAACAGTTTTACATTCGCCCCTATCAGCAGTTCAGCGTGGTTTTTACCCACGGCAATGGCATGCTTTAATTCTTCCATAGCTTTCTCTGTGTTGTCAGTTTCAAGATAAAATTCAGATAACCCTAT